AGGTAAGAGCAGCCTGGGAACACAGTGAGTCCCTATCTCTAAAAACAAACAAACAAAACACACACACAGAAAGTATGAAACATAATATTAAAAAGTGGTAAATTGAACTTCATCAACATTAAAAACACCTGCACTTCAAAAGATACTGTTAAAAAGATGAAAAGTCAAGCCACATACTGAAGAAAATATTTACAAAATGTATATCTGATAAAGGACTTCATCCATCGTTGTAAAAACTCTGTAAGACAATCCAATTATTATAATAAACAAGATTTGAAGAGAAATTTCATTACGAATGAAATATGCTAGAAATATAAACATATGAACAGATATGTTTTACCGTGCCAGTCATCAAGGACATGAAAATTACAATTTGCAATAAGGTACCATGGTATATCCACTACAATGACAAAAAACTTTTAAAAAATACCAAGTGCTAACAAAGATATGAAATAACTATAACTCTCACGCATTGCTGTGTGAGAATTTGCTGGGACTGTAAAACCATACAGTTCTTTGGTAAACACCTGGCCCTTTCTTAATAAAGGAAAACAAATACTATACGCACAACAATCCTACTTAGAGATATCTGCCTAAGTAAGATGCAAACACGTCTACATAAAGATCTATAGGCAAATGGTCACAGCAGCTTTAAAGTAGCCCCAAACTGGAATGAACAAATTGTATATTCATACAGTTCATGACTCCTCAGCAATAAACAAGGAACCAAGTACCCATTCACACAACAGCATAGGTAGCTGTTTTCTGTGTAGCTTTGAAAAGATCACATAGTTTGCTATTTTGAGTGACATACGTTCTGCTAAGGTAAGAACCTGGAGTGTAAAACAAAAAAAAGGGTTGGTATATAATCTACCTCCCCGGCACTGGCACTGCTTCTAAGGCTAAAGAACTTTGTGTGTCTTCATGGATCTCCAATGTGTTGGTCAAACCACTATTGGCCAAAAATCTCTCTATGGCAATAAACAGTGTGATCTGAGATATCATACTCTGATTATCTTGTTTTAACCAGATAAGACATCTCAAAATTATGCTGAGTGAAACAAGCCAGATCCAAAAGACTGCACTTACTTTATCATTATCTTTTATGTGACATTCTGGAGAGGTAAAACCAGGCGTCCTCAAACTACAGCCCGCCTAGGACATTTATCTGGCCCACCGGGTGTTTTTGCTGCTGCTGCCTGTTCTGCTTAGCAGCCGACTCCTCCTGGGGCCCACAGTCTGAGGGACAGTGAACTGGCCCTGTTTAAAAAGTTTGAGGACCCCTGGGTAAAACAAAAAAACAGGGACAAAAAAACAGATTGGTGGTTGCCAGAGGCAAATTTGGTGCATTTTATAAGACACAAATCATATCTCAATAAATGTGACTTTGGGCGGTGCCTGTGGCTCAAAGGAGTAGGGCGCTGGCCCCATATGCCAGAGGTGGCGGGTTCA